TGGCGGTGAGCGTGGCTCCAAAATAGAAAGAGACTTTGCGACATGCCGGGAGGGAGCCCGGGGGGCCGGGTGGTCAAGGGGATGATGGTCGCCTGACACACACGCAGATCCCTGCTCGGTTTTCGAGGAGGAGGAGGAGGAGGAGGACCCCCCCCAAAAGAGCCCGGGGCGGATGGCAGGCGGGGTTCATGCCCGGGGCGGGGGTGGGTGTGGAAGGGAACCGGGCGCTTTCCGGGAGACGGCGAATAATCATTCCCTCTGTCGTGAGCCCGCGGGTTTGTTCCCAGGGTGTTAGCGCTTGGCCGATGTGAACCGCTCTGGGCCCTGCGTCATCCGCTAGGGTGTGCACCGCTCTCCAGTGTTTGTCGCTCTGCCTTCCCCTGTGTTTGGCGGTGATTGTCTGGCTGTGCAGGTCTGACCTGATGTGGGGGTGCCCTCTCTCCCCCTCCCTTTACCCCCCTCCCTCTCCCCGTCCTTCCTCGGCGTCCCTGTCTCATTGCGCAAAGGGTTTGCGGAAAACCGCCCTCTTCGTGCACGATTTAAAAGCTGCTTCTTAAAGGATCCAAATGAGTCCTTAAATGGCCTGTGAAAACATTTCTAAAGATTGGATCAACTAGAGAGTTTTTAGGAGCTGTTTTTTTTGCTTTAAATGAATGTGGGGGTTTTTATTTTGAGGGGAGAGGGCTGTCTTGGGTTGGGGCGTGAGGAGGGTTCCAGAAGGGCCGCTCTGTCGTTGCTGTGGACGCGGGATTGGACCGGGGCCCGCGCACAGAGCGGGGAGCCCGCCTGGGCTTCGGGGGCGCCTGGATGAGGGTGGGGGAGGGGCAGAGAAAGTCACAGGCGCAGAGCCAGGACTCGGGGTGGGCGGCGGGTGACTGTCAACGTCGAGGGGGTGGAGAAAAGCCAGATTTAGCTGTCGGCGAGTGCACGTATGTGTGTGCGTGAGTCGGACCTGGCGCCGTGCACCAGAAATGGGCACAGTGTAGCGGCCAGTGCGTCAATTAAAAGTTAATTAGTTAAAGACAAATTCAGCTGTGAGCATGGGCTTCCTGGGGCCAGACGGGAAAGACGGGACAGAACTTGGGGAATTCGGTCGTGGACGTGGGGGTCAAGGGCGGTGCAGAACTTTCTGGCATCCCATGGGCTCGCTGCGTCCGGGACACAGGAGCGCGGTCCCGCTGCTCCTCGGTCTTGGATCCCGTGCGCGCCCCCGTCCCCTGAGCCTCTCGGGGCCCGGGGTGCACGCGGGGGAAGGGACGGGTATCTTCAGCAAAGGGTGCCGGGAAAACTGGGCAGCCACGTTTAAAACAATGAAAGTGCACCCGTAGCTCACCCCACACACACACACAAGGGAAGCCCAAAAGGCGTCGCGCCTGAAACCCTAAGACTCCCAGAAAAAAACGTAGGGGAAGAATGTCTTGACACTGGTGTCAGCAGTCATCTCATAGCGCTGACACCAAAAGCAAAAAACAGGCAAAGGAGATTGCATCGAACTAAAGACACAGTTCTGCAGAGCAAAGGAAACAGCCAAGTGAAGAGACATGTTCTCCGTCCCTGCCGAAGGGGAGAAAATATTTGCAAGCCGTGTATCTGAGTGTATAGACAGTTTGGGCAGGGGAGACTCTGAAAATCACTAACCAATGTTTGTAGGCAGTTTTTTGTTTGCTTTTATTGAAGTACCGTCAGTTACAACGTGTCACTTCCTGGTGCACACTGTCCCCAGTCACGCACATACGTGCAGATACTCATTTTCATATTCGTCTTCATTAAAGGTTATTACAAGATATTGAATATAGTTCCCTGTGCTGTACAGAAGAAATGTTTTTGATCTGTTTTTACATATAGTAGCTAACATTTGCAAATCTCAAACTCCCAAACTTACCCCTTCCCACCTCTTTTCTCCCAGGAACCATAAGATTGTTTACTGTGTCAGTTGGGAGTTTTTGCTTTAGGGCAGGAGTTCTCAAATTTCTGGTTTCTGTGCCCAAAGGCAGCCATTTGTCTGCATTATGGAAACAAAGTAACGCAATATTACTTCTTACTGAATAATGCAAGCCGTATTGTTTCGAGATTTCTAATTCCCTAAATGTTTGTTATTTTGTTTACTTTTGCTGGTAGGGGAGGGAGGTGGTGGTAATTACGGTTATTTATTTACTGTCATGGAGATACTGTCTTGAACCCAGGACCTGGTGCACGCTAAGCACGTGCTCCATCACCGAGCTCTGCCATCCCCCGAGATTCCTCCTTCCCTCGGAGTACAAAGAGGCTCTAGGAAAGTGGTTGACTTTTTTTTTCTTTTCACCTGGTGGGTTCGGTTTCATTAATTCTCCGGAGCACCCTTCACACCTGCGCTCCTATCTGGTAAATTTAAATACTCTTTTTTGCCCAGGTAATACTCAGCACTCTCGAGGCCGGCCTCGTCGCTGCCCTGAGCAGCTCCCCAACCCTTGCAAATCAGATTCTGTCTTTCAGAGAACCCTCTGCGGGATCTTAAGGGTTTTTTTTCTTCTTTTTCCTTCTTTCAACTAATTTCCTTTAGAAATCTCCAAACGAGTACACGCCTGCACCAAATTGACACTCAGGGAACTTCCAGTAGGCAATTTGGTGCCTTGTTTTGATTGCAAATGAGGTGGGGCAGACGCCGCGTTCCTTTCCCCGGAGCTGTGCTGCGAACGGCACCGAGTTTGCAGGCACCCAGGAGGGAACTGGAGCGCCCCAAGCAGACACCTCCTTTCTCCTGGTTTCATGGGAATGAGAAGGTCCCCACTGAGGGCCCGCATGAATCTGGGCACGACAGGAAAGTAAGGAGATGAGGCATCTTTCCAGGTAGTTAAACCCGTGCAGAAAGCCCCGGTACCTAATTGACGCTGGAAACCTCATCTTGGTTCTGACTTGTCATCACGCCAGCCTGGGGTTCCCCCTGTTAACCTGGCATATCGGGGCGCAACTCCCCGAATGTTCCATCAGCAGCAGACGGTTTGGGAAAGGAAAAGGGCATTCTTTCAGAACTTTTATTTATTTTTAATTGAGGTAGTGTTGATTTACAGCAACATACTAGTTTCAGGTGTACAGCATAGTGATTCACAATTTTTTTAAAGGTTATATTCCATTTATAGTTATTATGAAATATTGGCTGTGTTCCCCGTGTTGTACAATGTATCCTGCCAGCTTATTTATTTTATAGATAGTACTTTGTCCCTCTGACTCCCCTACTGTTATTGCTCTTCCCCCTTTCCCTGCCCCCACTGGTCCCCACCAACTTGTTCTCTGCATCTGTGTATCTGCTTCTGTTTCTGTTATATTCACTCGTTTATAGTATCTTCTTAGATTTCACATATAAGTGATACCATACAGTATTTGTATTTCTTTGATTTATTTCAGTCAGCATAATACCCCCTCCAAGTCCATCCATGTTGCTGCAAATGGCATTATTTTGTCCTTTTTCATTGCTGAGTAGTATTCCATTGTATAAATACACCATATCTCCTTTCTTCATTCTTCTGCTGATGGACATTTAACTTGCTTCCATGTCTTGGTGGTTTTAATAATGCTGCTATGAACATGAAGTGCATGTATTTTTTTTTGAGCCAAAAATTTGAACTTACAGATCTGGAACTCTGCATTTTAACTCACACAAGAGCCACTCTTGGGAGATTATGACTAGGTCTTTCATCTTTAATAAATGCTTGGACTTTTTATGGTTTTGGCCTGTGGAGCCAAGCTCATATGTTCCACTTTGCTTAGCAATATTGGAATTTCTGATTTGCAGGTGGTAAAAAATCAGGCTGGCCGTGCTGCTTCCTTTGGGTGAGAGAGACGGATGTCGGAATGCAGACATGTCCTCCAGGTGTCCTCTCCCAGAACCAATTTTCTTTGACTTTGATTTTCAACTTCAAAAAAAGGACAGCCCAAGATAAATACGGACGTGTGAGTAAGAGAAAGGAAACTTATAAAATTTTTAAGTGTCAGCAGAGGTAAACAAAACAACGTGTTTCCAGCATGGAAAGCAGGCATGTTTTATTGAAAATCAGATTTAACTAGAATTACTTTTATGAGACCTACTTTGGTTACTTCCCAACCATATTAGATAACTCGGTATGAAAACCCCAAGGTGTTGTGAACCCTGTTTTCCTGTCATAACCCCAAACGTGCTTCAGTTCAGGAAACGTCCGCTGTGGCTGGATATGGATTATCGAGTCCTAGGACAGAGGAAGAATCAGGCCGGAACATTCCAAACTCCACAGACTGCCTCTTTCCTGCACGCGCCACCCAGGTGGAAAACCCCGAAGAGCCTCAACCGTCTTGATTTTCAAATCCGCTCTGATTTACTCTGCTTTAGAAAGAGCACGACAAATAATTCATCCTCTTTGCAGAATCAGGTGGCAGGTCTCTGGGCTCCTCCCTCTGGCTGGCTGTCAGGAACCATCCCGTCGGCAGGACTGGTTAGGGGAGAACCTAAATTTGAGCTCGCAGGCGTGGTTCTCCCACCCCCAGGTTCCATGAGGCTGAGACTGTCTGCTTGTTCTGCAAGGGGTCGACGTGTGAAACAAGGTAACCAGAGCTCTGTCTTCCTCACCTGCGCTGCTCAGGGGAGCCTAGGCTGTACTGCAACCCCAGAATCTGACACTTTGTGCCCCCCCCACCCCCGATGACTGATCTGTCCTCACCGTGTTCCCGGTGGGAATGCAGACGTCTTAGCTGACGATGCCTTCACTCTAAACTCTGACCTCAGTTATCACAGGAGGACACAGACACTGATGTGGGCTGCACGCTGCTCGCGTTTGCACGGTGACACTGGATGTGTCCCGTGAGGCATGCTGGGAAACGTGGACGCCAGATGCAGGGACCAGTGGGTACCACTGCCTCTTCCCCAAACTCTCACATCTGCTGACCCCAGTCAAACACCAAAGCAAATGCTTATCAATGATAATTTTACCCTCCTCCTGGGAGAGACCTGGGTATTCTGTATAAACTGGGGGTTAATAGCCATACGGACCACGATGGTAGGAGAAGAAACCGAAGATGGTAGCTATGTAGACTCCTGGTCCGAGCAGATTCCAGGTGTATGGGCAATGCAGGGAAAAGTTCTAGACAAGAAAAACTAAGGGTAAAAAGGAATTGGGCATACCCATACAATGGCTCCTGTTGTTTTTTTTTAAATTGAGTTATAGTCAGTTTACAATGTTGTGTCAATTTCTGGTATGCAGCACAGTGCTTCAGCCATACATGAACATACATATTCATTGTCACATTCTTTTTCACTGTGACCTAATACAAGATCTTGAACATATTTCCCTGAGCTATACTGTATAATACCATCCATCTATTCTGCATTTTGAAATCTCCGTCTGTGCCCTCCCACCCCAGCCCCCTTGGCAACCACAGGTTTGTATTCTACGTCTATGAGTCTGTTTCTATTTTGTATTTATTGATTTAGTTTTTTAGATTCCACTTGTGAGTGATCTCATATGGTAGTTTTCTTTTTCTTTCTGGCTTGCTTCACTTAGAATGACATTCTCCAGGTCCATCCATGTTGCTGCAAATGGCATTATTCTTTTTTATGGCTGAAAAGTATTCCATTGTATAAATCATACCACGTCTTCTTTACCCAGTCATCTGTTGATGGACATTTAGGCTGCTTCCATGTCTTGGATATTGTAAATAGTGCTGCTATGAACACTGGGGTGCAGGTGTCATTTTGAAGTAGGATTCCTTCTGGGTATGTGCCCAGGAGCGGGATTCCTGGGTCATATGGGAAGTCTATTCCTAGTCTATATGGTAAGTCTATTCCTAGTCTTTTGAGGAATCTCCAGTGTTTTCCACAGGGGCTGCACCAAACTGCATTCCCGCCAGCAGTGTAGGAGGGTTCCCCTTTTCTCCACAGCCTCTCCAGCATTTGTCATTTGTGGACTTTTGAATGATGGTCATTCTGCCTGGTGTGAGATGATACCTCATTGTAGCTTTGATTTGCATTTCTCTGATAATTAGTAATATTGAGCATTTTTTCATGTGTTTGTTGATCATTTGTATGTCTTCATTGGATAATTGCTTGTTTAGTTCTTCTGCCCATTTTTGGATTGGGTTTGTTTTTTCTTATTAAACTGTAAGAATTGTTTATATATTCTGGAGCTGAAGCCCTTGTCAGTTTCATTTTTTGCAAATATTTTCTCCCATTCTGTAATTTCTCATTTTGTTTTGCTTATTGTTTCCTTTGCTGTGAAAAGGCTTGTCAGTTCAATTTTGGCTACTATTTTTAAAACGTGGAGAATAACAAGTGTTAGCGAGGATGTGGGGCAACCAACACCCCTGTGTCCTGTTGGTGGGAATGTCAATGGTGCAGCTGCTACAGGAAACAGGCGTCAAAAGTTAAACATAGAATTACCTCGTGATGCAGCAGTCCCAATTCTGGGTGTGTATGCAGAAGAACTGAAAGCAGGCTCTTCACCCCCATGTTCACAGCAGCACTGTGTACAATAGACAAAGCATGGAAGCAATCTAAGTGTCCATCAGCAGATGACTGAATAAAGATGTGGTATAGTCATACGATGGAATACTACTCAGCCATGAAAAATGATAAAATAACGCCATTTGCAGCCACATGGATGGACTTGGAGATTATCATACAAAGTGAAGTTAGTCAGACAGAGAACGACAAATATCATATGATATCACTTATATGTGGAATCTAAAATACGTTAGAAATGAACTTATTTACAAAACAAACAGACTCACAGACAGAAAACATAGTTACCAGAGCAGGGGGGAGGATGGGAGGATAAACTAGGAGTTTGGGATGAACAGATACACACTACTGCATATAAAACAGATAAACAACAAGGTCCTACTGTAGAGCACAGGGAACTATATTCAACATATTGTAATAACTTACGATAAAAAAATGAATATATGGATGTTCATGTATGACTGAAGCATTATGCTGGACACCAGAAATTGACACAGCATTGTAAACTGACTACACTTCAAGAAAAATATATTGTGTGTATATATATATATATATACACAAAATATATATATACAACAAAAAATATTTTTTGTATATATATATATATATATATATAACTAAAAAAAAATTTAATAGTCTGCACAAAAGAGAAAAACAGAACTGCTGAGTTCAAGTACTGATGCAGGCCCTTTGTGCTGTGAGAAACCAAACTTTAGTGAGCTTAAGGGAAAAAAAATAAATGAATTTAGAAACACTGAGAAGATTCGCCAAAGCCCACTTGTGAGAAATAGGGTTTCCTACAAAGGAATATGGCAGGGATGGGTCAGAAGCACTAATTATAGAAATGACAGAAGATACATGTTGTAAAGCTAAAGAAATAGAAAAAAACAAGACTGTGTGCTGAGTTCGCCATGTACATGTGAAAGAGAACCAGTTCTGGATGTGTTCTGCTATCATCGTCAAAGGAGATCAAACTGCACACATGTTCATGGAAAGATAAAATACTGTGTATAAAACTGGATTTAAAAAGAAGTTTCTTCTGTGCAGCACAGGGAACTCTTTTCAATATCTTGTAGTAACCTTTAATGAAAAAGGATCTGAAAATGAATATATGTATGTCTGTATATGCATGGCAGGAACAGTGTGCTGTGCACCAGAGATGGACACATTGTAACTGGCTGTACTTTAATAAAAAAAATAAAATAACAGCAGAACTAAGACTGGTTTGGTTTCATTTCATCTTGGCCCCAAGAAATGACACAATGATACTGGACTAGCAAGCATTGATGAGGGGAAAAAAATCATTAAAACTCCCATAGGGAAGCCATTGTAGAATTATCTGTTGCTCCAAAAATCTTGTTAAAATAAATTTCAGTGTGCTTAATACAATGAGCAACATTCCTCTCAGGAACCGTGCAGGACTGGAAACTCGGGGGAACAGGAAACCACTTCCTAAGGAAATGAATCAGTCCTGCCGCCAAATAAATGTACCTCTGACTCGAACATTTTTTGCATTATGCAAATTATTTGCACCCAGAGCTGTTAGAAACTTTGAAGAGGGTTTGATTCTTAATCCACACTTAATGAAGACATTAAAGCAAAACAGATTATGAGTTTTCAAACATCTTGCCAAAATCAGGGCACAGGCAAGTCCTCCTTGTCTTCAAATCCATCAAGCCATGGAACGGGAGGCAAAATATCTTTAATACGATTTTCTAACTATGACTAACTAATTTGCATATTCTTCTGTGACAGATAAAACCGAAATGAGTTGATTGGAATGCGTTTGGTACTTTAGATCATTGCTCCTTAAAAAGGCTGACAAGTCTTCCCATGTTAAAATCTGGGATCAAAAACCTTTTGAAGAATTAAAGTATTTGCTAAAATCCCCTCAACTGCCATGTGCTACCAAAAAAGAAAAAAAGAACTAACATTTGTTTGGGAAAGAGACTTGTCTAAGATGGGACATTATAAGAACCAGGCATTTATTAAATTGCTGAAATGTTTTATCTTTTCTATAATTTCAGAGATGCAGGGGAGTCCCCGGGGGGGGACCCTGTTTCATACGTGGAAAATGCGAGTGGGGCTGATACAAGTCCCCAGCGACTGAACGCCCACACCAGCTGCAGAATCGACGAGGCTGTCCGTTCCTGGTGAGTGTGAACGTGTGTGTGCACGTGAGTGAGCGGCGTGTGCGTTCCGCCAGCTACTTAGTGGAAAATACGATTCTTTCTGTTAAATTGAAGTGTCGTCGATTTACACTGTTGTGTTAGTTTTTGGTGCGCGGCGTAGTGACTCAGTTATACATGTGTGTGCATATTCCTTTTCAGCTTTTCCGTTACGGGCTGTTACAAGGTGTTCAGTATAGTTCCATGTTTTGTTCAGTAGGAACTTGCTGTGGACCTACTTTTGTTTCATTTTTTTTCCAGTTTTATTATGTCAAATTATTACAGTTTGCACATACACAGTATGGTGCATGTAAATACATATAAACAGTATACTGTACGTTTTTTTAGTTTTCACATGTGTACTAATTATTGCTTCTAAGAAATTAGATCTTTAGGCTCTTAAACTTACATAGTTGTCAAAGGACTAAAGGCAACTACAAAGTAAGAATCTACAGAATGCGGTCATCCAGTCATAAAGGACAGTCAGATGTGCTTACACATATTCCAGAAATCAACATGATAATTAGTTCATTTGTGGCCTTATTGTTGTTGCTGTTATTTTTTAGATCCCTCATATAAATGATGTCATATGGCATTTTTCTTTTTCTTTCTGGCCCACTTCACTTTGAATGACAATCTTCAGGTCCGTCCATGTTGCTGCAAATGGCATTGTTTTATCCTTTTTTATGGCTGAGTAGTATTCCATTGTATAAATATACCACCTCTTCTTTATCCAGTCATCTGTCAGTGGACATTTGGGTTGTTTCCATGGCTTGGCTATTGTAAATAGTGATGCTATGAGCATTGGGGTGCAGGTGTCTTTTTGAATTTTATTTTCTCTGGATATATGCCCAGGAGTGGGATGGCTTGATCACGTGGTAAGTCTATTTTCAGTTTTTTAAGGAACCTCTATACTGTTTTCCACAGTGGCTGCACCAGTCTAAAGTCCACCAGCAGTGTAGGAGGGTTCCCTTTTCTCCACACCCTCTCCAGCATCTATCATTTGTAGACTTTTCAATCATGGCCATTCTGACTGGTGTGAAGTGATATTGCAGTTTTGATTTGCATTTCTCTGTTAATGAGCGACGCTGAACAGTTTTTCATATGCCTATTGGCCATTTGTATGTCTTCACTGGAGAATTGCTTGTTTAGGTCTTCTACCCATTTTTGGACTGGGTTGCTTGTTTCTTTGATATTAAGGTGTATGAGCTGTTTGCGTATTTTGGAAATTAGTCCCCTTGCCAGTCACATCATTTGGAAATATTTTCTCCCATTCTGTAAGTTGTTTTTTTGTTTGTTTGTTTTCTTGATGGTATCCTTAGCTGTGCAGCTGTTGATCTGTTTTATATGTAGTAGTGTGTATCTGCTAATCCCAAACTCCTGACTTACCCCTCCATCTCCCTTTACCCCCCTGGTAACCATAAGTTTGTTTTCTATATGTGGGACTCTGCTTCTATTTTGTAAGTAAGTTCATTTGTGTCATTTTTTTTTAGATTCCATATATAGGTGATACCACATGGTAAATTTTTCTTTCTCTCTGTGAATTAGTTCATTTAGTGTGATCATCTCTAGGTCCATCCAGGTTGCAGCATTTAAATTGCTTTATTTTATTCTTTTTCATGGCTGAGTAGTATTCCGTTGCATAAATAGACCACATCTTCTTTATCCAGTCATCTGTTGATGGACATTTGGGTTCTTCCATGTCTTGGCTAATGTCAATAGTACTGCTGTGAACACTGGAGTGCATGTATTTTTCCAAATTAGAGTTTTCTTTGGATATATGCCCAGGAATGGATTGCTGGAGCATATGGTAGCTCTGTTTTCAGTTTTATAAGGAATCTCCATCCTGTTCTCCATAATGGCTGTACAAAACTACATTCCCATCAACAGTGTAGAAGGTTCCCTCTTCTCCACACTCTTCCCTAGCACTTGCCGTTTGTGGACTGAAAAATAGAGTTCTTAACATTGACCTTGCCCTACAGGTGCTGGGGAGTGAGAGAGAGGATCCCCTACATTATTAATGATGTTGAACACCCTCTGCAGTGGGTCTTCAGAGACAGAGATTCAACTTAAAGTTTCCCTAAGAGGTGTTTTCTTGGGTCCACATGGGACTCAGAATGAGGAGGGAGGGTACCGTCCAGCAGGGCCACCTGAAATCCGTGGATCCTCTGCTGGACGTGCATTATAAGTGAGAGTCAGACACAGAAAGAGGATGGGATACAGGCAGACGCTTGATCAAGTTGTGCAGGATTTCAGCTGCCCCAAGCACACTGCATGTCCTGACCGGCTCTATCTCCCCAGCCGCCCTTGAAGAAAGACGCTCTTCTGACCGATATTTATAAATGAGAAAATCGAGGCAGAATACAATTAGTAAATGTGGAAGGGTCTGGATGCTAATTCGGACAGGGTCTTCCATTTGTGTGGAAGTGGTAGGGGCCAATGATTAATTTCAAAACATGGTCACAGTCTATTGGAAAACCCATAGGGTCTAGAATTTTAGAGATGGAAGGTCAGAAATTCCTTCTTGGACAGAAGTGTCCAGAATCCCTGGTGGAGCGTCATCCGGCTTCTGCTGGAAAGTGCCCCAGGATGAGGTCACAGAACCCCGTGTGGCAGCCATCATTCTCACCTCCCTGGAATCTGACTGGCGGGTCTTCCGCAGAGAAG